CTCTTTGCGCATCATCATGCTCATGGGTGGGGTGGGGTGGGTGATGAACAGAACTGGTCGTCATAGCAGGCAGACCACTTTCGGGTACTGAGAAAACCTAGCCGACGTGACACAAACACAAAGCCCACAGCAACATGAGTATTCTCGACCTCTTGTCCCTTTCACTCTCTTGGGAGATCCTGTTATTACAGCTGGGCACCTGGTACCAGGGCAGATTAGGACGCTGAAACAAGCTTTGACTCATTTGTGTTAGAAAGACAAGGACATTTGTTTTACAGAAGAGAGAAAAATACATCCAAGAAGTGAAGGAAGTCGGGGAGGGAGAAAGCAATGGCTAGGAGTGGAAGAAAGTTTTGGGCCTTGTGTAAAAGAAGAGACTAGAGGCTATGTTGTTGTTGTTGTGTAAAAGGCGAGACTAGAGGCTATGTTGTTGTTGGGTAAAAGGAGAGACTAGAGGCTATGTTGTTGTTGTTGTTGTTGGGTAAAAGGAGAGACTAGAGGCTATGTTGTTGTTGTTGTTGGGTAAAAGGAGAGACGAGAGGCTATGTTGTTGTTGTTGTTGGGTAAAAGGAGAGACAAGAGGCTATGTTGTTGTTGTTGTTGGGTAAAAGGAGAGACGAGAGGCTATGTTGTTGTTGTTGTTGGGTAAAAGGAGAGACGAGAGGCTATGTTGTTGTTGTTGGGTAAAAGGAGAGACTAGAGGCTATGTTGTTGTTAGTTGGTGCCGACCCATAGCGACCTTATGCACAACAGAAGAAAACACTGACCGTCCTGCCTCATCCTCACCATTGTTTGTAGGCGGCGATAGCTATACCGTAATGTATGTGATGCCTAGAGGAGGGAAGAGGCATTTCAGATGTCTTGCTCTGTGCAGAGAATGAACCCCACTGGACTTTTTCTAGAGACGCTAATAAAAATATAAATTGCTTTATAATCTTTTTGGCTATTGGATGTGTTTCGATTTGTTTTTGGAATGTGCTATCTTGCTGAAATGGGCCGTGAGGTACCTTGGCTTCATAAAAGTTGTATTTGGGGGTTTATTGCCCGGGATTTGGGGACTAAGGTGCAGCAGTCCACTGCACCTTGATTTAAATGGTTGTCATGGCCCTGAGTGCAGGGAGTAGCTTCGTCACGATGGCTGGACTTGTAGTGCAAGAGAGGACCCCAGCTACGGACACTGAAACCAGAGCCCTAGCAGGCCCCGGGCAGGGGAGGGTGGCAGAGACATTCAGAGTCGCACACAGTCTTACAGAGAATGTGATGTTGGAACTGAATGTACATCTCTGCATGATGGGTTATGTCCCCCCCATGGGCTGATGAAGCTGGATGAAGGAAACACATGGAAGGTGGCTCTCAGAAGCTAGGAGACAGTATGCAGAGGAGTGAATTGGGCTTATTTTTGCTCACTATTCTCAGTCAGGAGCCCTGGTGGCATAGTGGTTATGAGTTGGGCTGCAATCCAAAAGGTGAGCAGTTCAAAACCACCATCTACTCAAAACAAAAAACAAAACAAAACAAAACAAAAAAACCGGGACTTTCTATTCCCATGAAGAGCTACAGTCTTGGAAACCCATAGGGGGCAGTTCTACCCTGCCCTATCGGGTTGCTGTGAGTCAGCATCGACTCAATGGCAGTGAGTGAGATGTCTCCCAGATGCCCTTTGCTCGGGAATGGACCCATTCAACAACCCTAGAGCACTGGCATCCACAGGCCCCCAGCCCTGTGGCCCAGCCAGCTGAGGCTCTGATTTGCCTTCTGCATCTGTACCCCTTATTTTTCAGAGACGAGATCCTTCTCCAAGGAACCCTGTGTACCAGTGGTTATGTGTTGGGCTGCTAATCACAAGGTCAGCAGTTTGAAATCAGCAAGCACCCCAAGGGAGAAAGAGGCAGCATTCTACTTCCATACAGAGTCACAGTCTTGGAAACCCACGGGGGCCATTCTTTTCTGTCCTAAAGCGTCGCTTTGAGGCTGGATTAACTCAACGGCAGGGGTTTGGTTTGAAGCCTCCTCCAACTCGCCCGTGTCTAATTTCCCCATGGAATTCTGAAATGATCTGGTTCTTCTTCCTGTATTTTCAAGTCCTGCTACTGGTCCACGCCCCCAGTTCCCACCTACCCTTGGCTCTCAAATTTCTGACCTGGAACTTGACTGGATCAGCCATACCCCTTGATCTCTGCACCTGTTTTCCATGTTCTTTCTTGCTTCTCCAAGAATCCCCTCTCCCTCTAGGCTCAGCAACTCCTGTACTAGCAGTAGACTTCATGGCCAGTGCCTCTGGACAGCATAATGTCAGCTTGTCATCCTATACTTGACATATATAGTATCCTCAACAACAGCGACAAAGGGCCTGTATGATGGCATCACCCAACTGCTCCTGTGGGGAGGCTATTTTGAATGTAGGGTCAAGGAGAGTGCTGCGACCAGAGGCCTTCCGTGGAGGCAGGGTCACTCTTATAGGTCGAAAGCAGGGACCTACCTGAAGGGTGAGGGGGCTGGCAAGATGAACTCCTCCACTTGAAGGGCAGACCAAGAGATATGAAGTAACAGATTCAGGCAAAATGCCTGAAAGTCATGCCAGCCTTATTTAGCAATTGCAGAGTTCCCCAAAGCAGGTGACCAGCAGGGCTGAACCATGTCTTCCTTTAGACCAAGCTGCTGTGGTGTGACCAGAAGTGTGTTGGCTCAAGTGCTGTCCTGTTTTCTGCTTCTGCTTCTTTTATACTTTTTGTGTTTAGACTTTTTGTAAATACCAGCCGACTTCTTTCTTTGTTTCTTTTCTTTTTTTGCCAACTTCTTTCTTAGGGAAACCAAGGAAAGCCATTTCTGT